AATTTTTACACTTCAACAATGATTCTTTTTTAAACGGACAAAGGACATAAAAAGATATTTCACTCCAAAAGATGTATCAATAATAGCCAATGAGCACATGAAAAATTGCTCAACATCACCAGTCACTAGAGAAATGCAAATCAAAACCACAATGAGATGCTACTGCCACCCACTAAGATGGATGTTATAAAAAAGGAAAATAAATGGTGGGGAGCATGTGGAGAAACTGTAACCCCCACACATCATTAGTGGAATTGTTAAATGGCTCAACTGCCTTGGAAACCAGTCTGGCAGCTTCTCAAAAAATTAAACATAGTGCTACTATATGACCCTGTAATTCTCTCTTAGGTGTATACCCAAGAGAATGAAAAACATATGTTCATACAAAAAACATATGAGTGTTCATAGCAGCATTGTTCACAACAGCCAAAAGTGGAAACCACCCAAATGCCCATCAACCAAGAAACTATTAAACAACATGTGGTATATTCATACAATAGATATTTTCAGCAGTAAACTGAATCAAGTACTCGCTGCAACATGCGAGAACTTTGAAAGCAAGATGCTAAATGACAGAAGCCAGATACAAAAAGCCACATAGCCGTTTATAGGAAACGTCCCCACACAGGAAAGTTCATAGACAGAAAGAGTAGATTAGTGCTTGCCAAGGACTGGGTGAAAGAGGATGGGGAAACCTGCCTATGTGCCCAGGTTACACGCAAATGTTCTGGATTAGATGGTGATGGTGGCTGCCCAGATCTGTGAACATGCTAAACATCCCCAAACTACACACTTGAAAATGCTACAGTGACATCTTTTTATGGTATGTAAATTACATCTCAATTTTTAAAAATTGCTAGGACCACCTCATATTTCATGTCCTTCCTTACCTGCTCTTTCAAAATAACCTAAAGTTTGTCACCCACAACCCTGGTTAGTTTGGTCAAATATGCAGTGACTACATGTCACTCCCCTCCCTAGACACTCAATTGCTTCTCAATACAGTGTAGACCTGCTGTGTCTTTACAGTGTGATTTTAAACAGAACTATGGTGTACTGCTAAGTGGAGAGAGGAGAAGCTAGAAAAGATTTAGAATGGCAAATAAAAGTAAAGCGCCTACCTAACACCCCAGCTATCCGTCAGGAAACTTTGGTGGGAACCAGAAAACCACACTTTCTTAGTTGATAAAAAAAATCCTCTTTATTAAGTCACGTAATTCCTCAAATCTGATTTCACACATAGTAGCTTTTCAGTAATTTGATCTGACTCTGATCCTCATGCAGGTGTACCCTTCTTAAGAGATCTTACTTTTATACACATTGAAAAGATCAAATTTAAAAAAACGTACTTTGGAGAGCAGGTGATTCTGGTCAAAGAGGAAGATGCAGGATGAGGGGCCTGAAGGCCTCCCAGGCACTGATTCAATCCTTCAGCTCCACCACCCCAGCATCTGAGAAACAGGAATTCTTCCAGGTGGACTCGAAGGACAGGGAGTCAAGGAAATCCAGGACCGAATGAATGACTATGGCCCCTTCTGGTAGGCTGGGGCTCCGGGGTGGCCTGCCTGCAGCCTGTACTGATTGGCTGGGCCATCCTCCCCCACAAGTGAGACCAAGAAGTCAACCAGACTTGAATGAGCATCAATAATAATAAGCTTTGTGGGGGAAACCAGCCCATCCAAAAAGACAAAATAAAATAAATTTAAAAATATGAACATTAGGGGACAAGACAGCATAAAGATGGCTCGAAGATTAGAAGAATTCTCTCGGTTCCTGGGCACATACATCAGGGTGGAATATGATGGAATTTATAAACATTAGTTTCACAGAAATGTTTGGAAACCTGCATTCAAAAGATAGATGCACCCTTATTTCTGTCCTGCTACAGTATCCCTCCTTCTGTCTTGTACTGTAGCACAAAAAGATGCAAAAGTTAAATATTTAATGAAGAAAAAGACACATACATATGCTTGATTTCTATCTTTTTCAATTGAGTTGACTAGCAGTGTTAACAAAATGTGACTTCCATTAAATAAGTTAAATCTTATCAAGATGGAGACCATTACTCATTATTCTAATTTTAAAATTGTAACACTTACATGGCTTGTATTAGTTATTTTTAAAAAGTGATTAAGAATTACTGAATAGGCCCTCCCTGGTGGCGCAGTGGGTTAAAGCACAGCACTGAGAAGCTAAAGCCACTTCTGCATGAGTTCGATCCCCGCCTGCCCCGGAGGAG